AACAGAGACACACACGGTGGCAAAAGTGCGGCCCATACGGGCGCCTCCGGGATCGCGTCTAACAGATACAACAACAAACCGGGATACATACAGGGACACAGAAGGACAGAAGGCCAGGTGCAGATTGCCGACGAGATCCAGGGCCAAATGGTAAAGCACGGATACGGTAACTGACGATGGCATGGGTATAGTAAAACACAGGGAGGCAAATTGAGAGGCAGACGAGCAGAAAGCCTATCGCAAATCGTGAAGTGGGTATAACCGCTATCTTACGCGGATAAAGAAATCTGAACGTGACTAACAAAAGAGGTAGTAGGAGTGAATTTGCAAAGGATCTTACCGTTAAAGGGACAAATTGAAGAGCATACTGAGAGAGTAACGGAAAAGTAAAGTTGAAGGAGAGAAAGAGAAACGAGAGTAGGAAAAGAGATAAAAGTAAGGACGAGCGCTATGCGTTTCACTACCTGAGTAGTACTGGGCAGAAGGGTGGTGTGCACGCGGTGTGATGCATGGAAGCGGAAAATCATGTACTGTGATATTAAAGCCCAATGATTTTTTCGCGCCTTTAGCCAGAGGATCGACCTTGCACTTGAGTCTGGGAACGATCAGCTGGTGTCGGGGGTTACTGGCTCACGAGTTTCGTGTTCAATTTACCTTGCCTAGATTTCGTTTTTTTCGTTTCTCTTACGCTTTCCTTTCATCCTTACACCTTTCTTACTCACTCTTATGTATCCGCTGTCACCGGGTACATGGGTGCTAAGCTCTTAGGGTTCGAGGTTCTGCTGCGCTCATCCTTCACTGTTTGGAAGAAGTTCGTGCGACTGTCGGTGAAGATCTCCGCCAAGTTCACAATCGACATCAACATAGGACGACGCGGTTCATGAACGGGAGGGGGAGAGGCAGAGGCAGAGGGAGAGGAAGGTGGTCAGGGTGTGGGCGCTATTGGATGGAGCAGCCTAATGGGCAGGCTCCTACCTATGGCCAGCCACAGAACCCACCACAGAACCCGCCACCTTCTCCACCACCGCCGCCACCTCCTTTTCAGTATGCTGGCTATTATCAGCCGCAATATTGGGGACAACAGCATGCAGGATGGCAACCAGCACATGGCGCCCCGGCGATGCAACAACCACAGAACAATGGCGGCTTCACTAGCGGGAACGGCTATGGGCGTGGCTACAATCCAAATCAAGCTTTCTTCACCAGGGAATACGCCGACTTACTAGACAAGATCAAGTTCAAGGAAGCCGTCGAAGAAGAATCGAAGAAGCAACGGTTAGGGATTATGGAAGTTACGGCGGAGGCTCCTCGAAAAGTAGAAGTTAAGAAGATAGAGGAGGCTAAGAAGGGAAAACGGGCGATGGATGAGAAAGAAGAAGCAATGAAAAAATGGATGACTTCCACGTTCGGGAACTTTCTGAAAATCCTATCGGAGAAGATAGAATCCGTGGACCGGAAGTCGAAGATGGAAGAGGCCGAGCGGGAGGAATTGAAAAGGCTACTGGCGGAGAAGGAACTAAGGGAGATGAAGGAGAACGCCAGTATAGAAAAGAGAAAGAGAGGAGTGACTACACCTGACACGTTTCCAAGAACAAAGAAGGTGAGATTGAAGTCGGCAGTCAAGATCAAGAGTCGCCAACCAAGGAGGATATTTGTGGTCTCCGATGACAAAGGGGGTGGCCCGGTAACCACCCCGACGGTCTCAAACGCTACACGTAGCAACCTGAAGGTGAGATTCGATCAGGAGGAGGAGAAGAAGGACAACGGGTTGGAAAAACTGAAGGGAGTACTTAAAGAACTTATTACGGTGGTATCAACGAAAGAAACTGCGAAGGGCGGGAAGGAGAAAAGAAAACTAGAGGAGGTTGAATCCACAGTCAATGGAGGCGACGCCAGCACTGGGGAAGAATCCGAGGAAGAACGAAACGAGCTCGGACTCACGGGCTACTTGAAGAGTCGGGTTGAGAACTATGAGTCTATGCACTACATTCACATTCGAACGATGTGCACGGAAAGGGGTATCTCGTATATCCGAAAAGAAGTGGGCATCATGGGACTAGCCAGGCTAGATCTAGAGTACATGCGACTAGTCACTCAAAGATATGGAGGGAAATGGGGTTACGATTTCGGAGCCATCCGAACAAGAGGAAGTTGAGCAGGAGGAACAGGCGGATGTACGGGAAAATTAACTAGCTGGTCAAAGCGGGCAATGCTCCGACTATTCGTGAAAACGGGGAGGCTAAAAGAGGAGGGGGTCATAGACGAGGTGTTGTGTAATCGTATACAGTTTTGTATCGTCCTGTATGGGAGTCTGATGGGTCTATGGAGATGGGGGAGAGCCTATCTTAAATACTGGAAGAAATTTGGCCCCGAAAAATGGGATTCGGTTATAAATGGACAGTCGTCATCTTGTGTCTACATTATTTTTTCCCCCTTTTGCAAACTAGTGTATGTTGGTATGACAAAGCAGGATTTGAACACCCGTTGGAAGGAACACAGGTACGCGTGCCGCACAAACGGAAAACAGAAGATACACAGTTGGTTGAGGAAGTTTGGGATAGAAAAATATTGCGCATGTCCAATTTGGTTTAGTAGCCCGTGGGCTATAGCGGGGATGGAAAAAGAGGTGATTAAGAGCAACAACTCGGGTTTGAATGGGCTGCTATGTCGGAAGAAGGGTTTTAAGAAGAGGAGGGCTAGAAAACCGAATAGAACAGTATCACAGAATCCGGCGATCTGTTACGATCCAGTCCTGTTCAGTTGCGATATCTTGCAAACTTCGGAGGAACCAGACCTGCTAAAATTGATTAGATCATTGCAAAAGATTCGGGCGAAGGGAGTGATAATTAGGAACAACTCTGGTAGGAGATGGCTTAAAGCATGAAATTTGGCAAAATTGATTTACGGGCATAGTCTCATCATCAAAGGTGGGAAGAAGCCGCTTCTGAGGGATGCGAAGGATCACATAGAAGAAGGTGGGGACTGAATCTTTTATGATATTGTAAAGACGAAAGGGAAAGCGGAAGGCATAAAAGCTGAAGTAATTGGATTACTGCGGGCACCTTGAAAAAGGAAGGAACTCATGAAGAAATTGTTGGACGAGATGTTGGAGATGGAAAGGGTAATCAAAATACTGGCAGAGAGAAGGGAGAGGCAGATTGTTAGGGGGACCATGACGCGAGTCATGAAGCGAAAATTTGGGTTGAATCCAAGAATGAGGGTGGTGGTTAAAATACCAAAAAATTCAGGTATCACGAAGAAGAACGTAGGGAGAGAAATTGAGAATTGGCTAAAAGTTACGATTGCACATGCTGGGTTTTGTGATTTGATGGTGCAAAGAATGAGGCTGGTATGGGAGAAGGCCCCCACAATAGCCGATATTCTGCACAACCAGAAGCAGTTTGCCAGTGCAGAAAAACAACTTTGTACATGCAGCAGCTTCGAATTGCCCAAAGTGGATGGGCACGTCCAAGTTAGATTGAGCGTCATCACTGACATTCCTAGTTTTGTCCATAACTCCAAGAACTCACCGGTGCCCGGATGGTTATCTAGCATGAAGGAGATAAACCTTGCCTGTAACAGGACAATCTACCCCTTGAAGGCTAGCGGAGTCATCAACAAACATGAGGAGATCCGGTTTTGCATGCATCAAGTACAATGGCGCAGGTGCAGGGAGCAAGGGGAGGTTGTACCCACTAAGTTTGTCTACGGTTTAAAATCCAGTTTTCAAGGACTGGTTTTCTCACCTCTGGACAGAAACGGGGGGGAAACATTGGTGGAATGTCCACACAGCTACGGGGATGGCCTTCGAAGGATGTTCAATGAAAATGGGAACTACGAAAAGACCGAGATAAGTGAGTCGGAAGCTAGGGAACTAATGAAAAACGATTATCTGGCCAAAGGGTTGGAGAAAGTGACTAAATGGGACACAAAGGGACGACTGCAAGAAGCCTATGTGCTAGCAAAGGACAAGGACCTGGCTAAACGTAGACTCATCGTTCCTTCATTTCTAAACCCATCAAGAAGTGTTTTGGGTATACTGGGTCAGGCGCTCAATTTCCTGTTGAAAAATGTCAAGGAGGAGCACTTTAACATGAGAAGCACCGGAGACCTGAAAAGAGGGGTGAAGCAGATAATTAAGAAAGCAAAAGGACTCGCAGGGATTGATAGTCGAATTCTGATTCGCACTTACGACATTAAGGAAATGTTCACTGAGCTTCCACACCAGGACATTAGGAGGGCGGTTGAATGGCTAACCGAGAACTTTGAACAGAAAGGGATCAGATGGGTAAGGCTGAAGGTCAGAGGCAAGAAAGCCACCTTTGGGAAGTCTCACTTGGAGGACGGATGGAAATCCTACAAGGTGAGCACGTTGAGAAAAATGGTAGATTTCCAATTGCAGAATATGTACTTTCTGGCAAATGGGGCGGTATTGAGGCAAGTAAAGGGGATACCAATGGGAGGCAAGGCAAGCCCGACCCTGACCTGCGTATTATGCGCATACGCAGAAAACATGTTCGTTGGCACACTGGGAGTCACGCACAATTTTTAAGCGGGAAACGGTACATAAATGATTTGTTTTTGGCTACATGGTATGATGGTAGAAAGGAAGGGGAAAAAAAGAAAGCCAAAAAAATGCTCGATGGAATCTCACACTGTTATCCTAGTAACCTGGTGTTAGAACGGACCGACGGAGACAAAGGGGTGACCTCCTTCCTTGAAACCAATATCTTCGTGACTGAGATGCCAACGATTATCTATCTCACACACCGATTCAAAAATATTGATAATATTTGGAACCGGGGGGCTCGAAGATTCAAATCGATGAAGGACTATTCCTCATATGGTGACAAAGCGCAGAAATGGGCAGTGGTAACCGGGACGATCTGGCGGATCTGGCATAACACGAACTCTGCGGCCACCGCCTGGTTCAGTCTAGTCACATTCTGCAGGGAGATTCGAAGTCTGGGATACCCAAGAGAGGCCTTTTTTTCAGGGATCAGGAAGGTCAGTGCTCGAAAAGGTGGCTACAGGAAAGCTCTAGAAACACAACTCATAAGTTGGTACCAGGACGCGTGGCCCTACGGCTAGTGATAAGGTAGTGAGATCGGGGTTCGCCTCTTAACAGAGACACACACGGTGGCAAAAGTGCGGCCCATACGGGCGCCTCCGGGATCGCGTCTAACAGATACAACAAAAAATCGGGATACATACAGGGACACAGAAGGACAGAAGGCCGGGTGCAGATTGTCGACGAGATCCAGGGCCAGATGGTACAGCACGGACAAAACGGTAACTGACGATGGCATGGGTATAGTAAAACACAGGGAGGCAAATCGAGAGGCAGACGAGCAGAAAGCCTATCGCAAATCGCGAAGTGGGTATGGCCGTTATCTTACGAGGATAAAAAAATATGAACGTGACTAGCAAAAGAGGTAGTAGGAGTGAATTTGCAAAGGATCTTACCGTTAAAGGGACAAGTTGAAGAGCATACTGAGAGAGTAACGGAAAAGTAAAGTTGAAGGAGAGAAAGAGAAACGAGAGTAGGGAGAGAGATAAAAGCAAGGACGAGCGCTCGACGCTTCACTACCTGAGTAGTACTGGGCAGAAGGGTGGTGTACACGCAGTGTGATACGTGGAAGCGGAAAATCATGTACTGCGATATTAAAGCCCAATGATTTTTTCGCGCCTTTTGTGTTATCATTCAAGAATGTGAGACTGTTTGAAAGGAATAGGAAGTGCGTGGGTGCGCAAGTTTTGAGGCGCGCGTGATCTTTTGTTTTTGATATGATAAGATCGACACAGTTGCCGACCAACTTTTGATTTTGATTTAATCAGGACTAAATGATTTTTTTTTTTTCCTCTTCATCAGCGAAATTGTTTATGGCGCGTACGTAAGTACGGAGATTGACATAGATAAAAGTTCGAGCTTTCTACCGCTAGGAAAGAAAAGGCGTGGGCTTGAGGCAAGGAGTGGCGCGTACGGTGGTTGTGAGCGGAGCTGAGCTCTTTGTATGGTGAGTGACTGCGCCTCCGTGGTCATGGGTACGGTTGCAGACCAAGGTATGGGCTTGGGGCGCTTTGGTAGGTCTGCGCGAGGCATAAAAACATAACTTAACTTGCGGTTATTAGTCCCAAGCTTGGGCTTAGCCCTATAGGTTACGACTTTGGACTGATACTACGAGGACCCGGGGATCAAGGTCAGCAGTCGGCAACGAAGGAGCATCTTATGAAGGAAACTAAGGGGTCGAGGGTCCCACGGGACTATCCCCCTTAGTTTTGTCAGGGAGTTCGATCGCGGGACCGATGGGTAGGACCAAAGGTCGGGTTCCGACGGTCCTTCCCCTCCCGTCATCGTTTCTCATATTTTTCCAACTTTTATTACTTTTTTTATTATTCTTAATTTTATTTTGTCCCATTTTGGGATGCGGTTCCGGTGTCGGGCGGCCGAAGGTCAGTCGGCCACCCGAAATTCGGTGGATAGACCCTTGGATTATTTACCTCGAGAGGGATTGACCGGAGGTTTCATCGAAGCCATTAGGAAAAATTAAGGGTTCGGATGGGACCCCGAAAATCCCCCACGTCAAACATTAAACCAACCTTGGAAATCAATGAAGGGGACGATGTCGAGCGCATAGGTCCGGCACCGCACAAGGCAGCGCGGGACCCTCCCGACTGCGTCACGCAGGAGTTGGTTTAAATCCTCGTCGCGAATGTTCATTGAGCTTCCACAAGCCGCTCCGGCCAAGTGCGCCAGCCATACCTCTCGCGAGCCTCGACGACAGGACAGGGCCTACGCGAGGCACGACTTACCTCCACCTTATGGGAGTTGTCACCTCCCTTCGGTGGGCGTATCCCCGCCGAGCTACCAGTCCACAGTACGAAAGCTAATCAACTGCAATCGCAGAGATGGACCAGCCGAGGGCGTTTCTCGTTCGCTGTAGCATAGGGGGTACACGTGGTCTCACGCCTCTACCGGACCCGCACGCGAACCGACGCACTGGGGAGACTGAAATCCCAAGCGCGACACGACGTCGGTCGACTAGGACGTATCGCACTCACCATGCGCATACCACTTTACGAGCACAAAAATAAAACACACCCACACACACACATCATGACAACGAGACAACACTCCTAGTCCCTTCAGTAATCGTCCCCTAACTTTCCGACACGGAAATCGAAAAGGCAACACGCGGTAGACTTAGTATAAAACCGCGCAG